GAGAGAGAGAGAGAGAGAGAGAGAGAGAGAGAGAGAGAGAGAGAGAGAGAGAGAAAACGAAAAGCGCTTTCGTCTTGTTCTACGAAGGATATAGGCGATATAAGCTCAGAATTTGTCATATAAACCTCTTTGTCTCTCCTAGATTGTCGATTCGTGCTAATTTTTAGTCGCGATACCGCGATTAAGTACGTTATATATTGTCACAAAGTATCTCTCGTAAGTGAAAAAGGTTGGGGAAGATCTGTCTCGCATATTGTATAGAATGGGTAAGATCTGCATGCACATACTTGAGCGTAATCTAATACAGATTGATTTGTAAATCGTAGCGCATGGACTTGGGAGAATGCCCCCAGATTCACGACTTGGCCCTACGGGCTGATTACGAGGCTGCTCAAAAGAAGAAAGATCATTTTTACGATATTGATGTGAGTAGTAGTGTATCACAAATAAAATCATGTATAAAATATATTCGTTAACATTTTTTTCTAACAATCAAATTCAACAATAGAGTAATATTATAGGTAATATATATATATACACAGGATGTTCCAGAATTGCCGTACAATCTCTCGCAGGCAGGTAGAAGGAGTAAAACTGAGTCGAAAAGTCCTGAACCATTTTTTTCTATTATTTATAATAAAGGAGTAATTATTGAGTAAATCAGGCCGACCTTTAGCCAGGCGCACGTCACTGAGCCACGCACCTGGTGTGTGTGAGCACTCACTGACGTACGCCTGGCTAAAGGTCTGCGCTGATTGGCCTGATTTACTCAATAATTACTCCTTTATTGTAAATAATAGAAAAAAATAGTTCAGGACTTTTTGACTCAGTTTTACTCCTACTTGCCTACGAGAGATTGTACGGCAATTCTGGAACACCCTGTACATATAGATAATATTATAGCTTCTATACAATATGATTTGTGACGATTGAAAGAGATATTATTTATTCTATTAGTTACGCGTCTACTGTTGAATTTTTAGGCTATGGAACATCTCCAAAATTTCATCGCCGATTGCGATCGTCGTACCGAGCAGGCCAAGCAGAGACTGGCAGAGACGCAGGAGGAGTTGAGCGCAGAAGTAGCAGCAAAAGCGAACAATGTCCACGTGCTCGCCGAGGAGATTGGTAAGAAACTAGCCAAAGCTGAACAACTTGGTGAGGAAGGCTTCGTGGAAGAGTCAATGAAATTAATGGGCGAGATCGACGAGCTACGTAAGAAAAAAAATGAAGCAGAGCAAGAATATAGAAACAGCATGCCAGCATCGAGTTACCAGCAACAGAAACTAAGAGTGTGTGAAGTGTGCAGCGCGTATCTTGGTATACACGACAATGACAGGCGACTGGCTGATCACTTTGGCGGTAAACTGCATTTGGGCTTTATCAAGATCCGTGAAAAGCTCACCGAGCTTCAGAAAACCGTCGATGAAAGACGCAAAGAAAAGCGCGAATCTATACTCGACAGAAGACGGGACAGAGATAGGGAAGATCGCGACAGAGATCGTGACAGAGACAGAAGATTGGGCAGAGATCGCGACCGTGATCGCGATCGAGATCGTGATCGCGATCGGGAACGTAGAGATAAAGATAGGAGAAAGTCACGGTCTCGTAGTCGCAGTCGTGGAAAAAGGTTTATAAATTTTCTACCTCTTTAAATTATGATTTCAAAAAATATATTATTTTACAGTTTTTAAATCCAAGCGAATTAAAACGTTATAACTAACAAATGAGAGAATTATTTGTTAATATATTTATTGCAAACGTAATAATCTCTTGTTGCTTTATAATTACAGGTTTGATGTATTCTGTTTCAGATCGAAACGTTCTCGAAGTAGCAGTCACAGCCGTCGATCTCGTTCTCGTCGCAGTGGGTCCAATGATCGTAAGAGATAAGAAATGAGTTATATATAATGATTATGCTCAATCAATTTTTTGGTCTCTTACATGTGCGCTTCATGCAATGTATAACACTGAATTGTGCGTACAAAACAGCGTTGGAATATCTGTAGCAAAGTATGATGCTCTGTGTAATGTAAAATTGATACTTGTCGTTTAATTAATGTTGACATGAAAATCTTTTATGCAGAATCAATGATTAAAATATGTTTTGGTTTCAAATAGATATTGATACATGCATCACACACACACGCACACACACACATATACATATGTGTTTGATAATTGCCGTCTAACCGCTCGTAGGTACACAGCACGTCAGGAATTCGAAGAGTAGGCGCGGGATCGGAGAGCAAGCGGGGCGGTTGCTCACCAACAAGCGCCGTACGAATCGTACGGCCCGCTTGCCCTCCGATCCCCGCGCCTACTTTTCGAATTCCTGACGCGCTGTGTACATAGAAGGAATTATTCTAAGACGAAGAGTTCTATACCACTTTGCAAGATTCGCAATAATTAACGAAATATTAATTAATCAAGATCCGCTAATCAGCATCCAGCGTAAGGACAGCCCAGTCTGTCGCGCCGTAGCAACGGAATGAGAGGGACTAATAGAATCAGTGATGAAAGATTTGACCGGCCAGCACCAAGAGCACCAAGGTGGTGGGAGCCACTGAGAACACGCACACGGATGGCGGTTCTCGCTTGTGTGCGTCTCCCAGTGGCTCCCACTCTTGGTGCTGGCCGGTCAAATCTTTCATCACTGAATAGAATAACATGTGCATACATAAACAGCATATAGGCTGCGTTCGGGAAGCGCGCTATCCGCGCTATTGTATTCCGTCGCTACGGCGCGACAGACTGGACTGTCCTTAGGCCTGTTCTACAATACTGTCGTAAGTTGTAAGTCGTAAAAAATTGACCAATCACAGACCAATTACAAAAGAATAATTAATTGCGATTGGTCAATGTCTTACGACTTACGGCTTATGACTGTATTGTAGAACAGGCCTTAGCCTAATATTACATTTGTCGTACGACAAAGATTTTAAGTATGTTGATTGGTTATCAGATAGAGTTTTATAAAGAACTCTATTTAATACTAAATAGACTCTATGTAATACTAGCCTTACGCTGGATGCACGTTGATTAGCGGATCTTATTAATTAATATTTCGTTAATTATTGCGAATCTTGCAAAGTGATATAAAACTTTTCGTCTTAGAGTAACCTCTTCTATCTATCTACGAGCGGTTAGACGGCAATTATGGGACACTCTCTCTCTCTTTCTCTGTGTGTATGTGTGTGTGTGTGTGTACATACAATATGTATATATATATACACACATATATATACATATCTTAATTTTTTAAATATTTTTTATTTCTGTAAATATATAAGAATAGCTTAAAAATTAAAAAAAATTCGTATAGTTGTTAAATGTTTATCATTACTTGAGCATACATAATAATGCTAATATAAATAATAAATTCCGCGTTATATTATTATTTATATTTACCATACTACATGCAGTAAATTAAATGTCTATCGCAGAACTATAAGTTTTAAATTCAAGAAATATAATATAACATCTATATACATATATTTTATATTATTATAAATTTGTTTTATATCGTCACAAGAATATATTATAATTAATTGGTTTTTCTTTGTCCATAAAAGTCAAAACATCATATATAATTTCAGCATTCATTTTTAATAGAGATTCTTTAATGCTTTTTTTTCACTTATTTTCAATGTTTTTTCTATTATTGTTTCGACAGTAAAATGATGCGTATATTGAATCTATTATATCATAAACGGCAAAAAATCGTAAATATGGGTGATCGAAAGATATTAAGAATGAATAAATTTCAGTGAAATAGTCGAAATGAGTCGTAATCTAAAATATTAATACTTCATTACGAGGGCAGTACTTTAGAGATAACATTTTATCCTTGTCGTTAACACTCGAAATACATTATATATATATGTTTAAAGTTTTTAGAAGCATATGTGTGTCTGACGGCGAGCGGCATAGAAAAGAATTTGTCTTCAAAATCCAGTTTCTATATAACGACTCAATAAAAACCCTAACAATAATCCGTAGAAAAAAGAATTGCGAAAAGTATCTCCTCAACTAGGACTTGAAACTTCAAGAAATCGTTTTAGAAATATACTTCTGAAGCTCTCGGCTCCCCTTTCATTGTCTTTGTGTAAGAATGTCAGATACAAGAAATTGCACACTAAAAGTTTCTTGCAAATTATTGCTTTAGGTTTAGTTTTTTTTTAATAAAAAGTTAATATTATGATTCTTAGAGGAACAAAACATGCCGCAAACTCAATTATAGTGGAAATACAAAAATGTGTGAAATATAGAGAAATTAAATGTGAAAGTTCAGCGTAGTACTCTTTGTTTTGTTATAGTTTAATTTTCACACTGACAAGAAATAATATCCGCTACTTCAGGAATTATTGCATACTTCTGTGACGTATCAGATATATCACAAGATTTTTGTTGCATATTTTATAAGTTTCATAATTACAAAATAATATTTTTTAGAGAAAACTAAAAAAATAAAGTCGTAGCAAGAAACTTTTAATATGTAATTTCTCGCTTCTCATGTGCAAAAAAACTCGAAAATTTAGAGATTTTAAATGCAAAAGATTTCTCTTAAATCAGCAGCTTGAGAATCATAGCTTGTAGATCGTACACGGTACGTATTCCAGAGAGATAGGACGATCTCGTCTCCACATTGTATAGTGTCATAAATTTTGTAATCTTACAGAACTTTTACACAATATACACTTTAGTAAACATACATAAAAAGAGAGCAGCTTCTGACGACCTCGATTTTGATATACATTATCAAGGCCATGGCTTTGAGTGACACTCAAAAGATTTTAGATGATGCTTACTGCTTGTTAAAAAGTTACTAACAAAAATGATATATCAATAAAATAAAATTTGTCATACATAGAACATAATTGAAAAGTCGCAAACCCAGTAGAACAGTACAATCATAGGTCTCACTTTGCTCTATAAGAAATTCCACAAACGGTCGAAATCGTGAGTTATATGAATGAACTTATGAAAATGTATGTTGATTTAGAGAAGTGTCTTGAAATCGAAGTTATTTGATCTACTGTCTAACACAGACTAAGCCGTACACGTCAGTTACTGACGAAATAAAAACAAAGATTGTATGTTGATATAATATGTTAAGTTTAAAGTTATTTGTGTCGACTTTGTATAGCTTCCTGCTTTCACGCAAAACTAGATCCACCCTACTTTTCTCTCTGCTTACGGAGCAAAGCGAGGTCTATAATTGTTCTTTTCCATATGCGTTTTTGACTTTCCACGCGAAGTGAGTGTCAACCCACACCTCCTCTGCTTAGGGAGAAAGCGAAATCTATGATTGTACTGTTCCACATAGATTTGCGACTTTTCAATTACGTTCTATGTATGATAAATTTTATTTTAGTGAATCATTTTTTGTGAATAACTTTTTAATGAACAGTGAGCATTATTTAAAACCTTTTAAAGGTCAATCAGAACCATGACCTTGATACCATGTCAAAATCAAGGTCATCAGAAACTGCTCTCTTTTTATGTATAAATAGCTACAATTTATGTCACAGTTCTAAATATTACTTGAATAGATTAATGAAAATTATTTAGCTCAAAGAGCAGCTATTGATACCTTTGTTACGTTATTTCATTATTTGTTCCTTCGTCATTTGATGCTCGTTTATTTCTAGTCGTCATTATCATCAATATGAACTGCTTCTCTTGCTACTTCAGGAATCAGAGGCAACAAAGGTGGTAAAGACGATGAGATATTCTCACCCTCAGATGATTCGCAATGTTTTGGCGATTTTGGAGATTTATCTTCTAATTGCGCTGGACACTCAAAGTGTACACAATGAAATACCTAAAAGTAATTTTTGTTCAGTAGACATACGTTTATATATGAAACAGAAATAAAGGATGAAGAATTCATAAGTAAGGACCTCATTTGCAGTATTGTGTGTTCCTACTATACGTATAAAAACAACTGGACGGCCTGGACTAAAGCGTATTGTCTGCCATGATCGACAAGGTTCTCTGGATTTATCGACGACTAATTTCCAGTTTTCTCTGTTGCCCGATACTTGTATGTAGTACGAGTATGAACGATTATCGCAATCCCAAAGTAATAGTCTACATAATAGTCAAATTCAACAGGAGCATAATCATGTTATGTTAGATTGAGACGTAATTATATCAAGTATTTGAGAAATCATACCGCATAGAATCTATCATGTACGGTTGGCCCAACTGAATCAGAATATTTCCTGAGCCTAGTTGATGGCAAGTGTATCCGCTGTCCCAATCATAATTGGTAATATCTCCATTCAATAAAGTGTGACGGAACCTTTATAGAAATTTAATTTGTTTCTATTTATGATGTAACTCTTAATGTAATTATTTTTGTTTTAATTCTTATAAAAGTTGATATAAATTACAAATATAAAAAAATTTCACGATGATTCTCTCTCTCTCTCTCTCTCTCCCCCCTCTCTCTTTTCTCTCTCTCCTCTCCTCTCCTCCTCTCCTCTCTCTCTGTGCGTGCGTGTATTAAACATGATTTTAAAGTGAATACGCGTACACATAACAACTTACCTACTGACACCTTCAATAACAGCTGCACTTTTTTCTGCAAGAGCAACATTTTGTGTAGGTACTATAATGCCTTTGCATAATTTCACTGTATGATTTGTGTAGTATGCTTCAAAACTAACAACATGGAAAACCTAAAAAATAAAGTAACAATTTTTAATAAATATTGAGATAATCGAGATTATAGAGATGCGAGTGAAAATGATACAATAAAACAAAAGAAAAATAAAATACAAATAGATTTTACACAAGTAAGAAAAAATATCTTGTTATCCATTAATAGGAAGAACTTGCCTTATTTACTGTATTATTTGTTCCTACAATACGAATATACATAATTACTTTTGGTTCAAAGTATAAATATTGCCAACTGCGACAATAATAGTCTGTATGATCGATAAGTCTGACCCAGTGATCTTGATTTATGGATCCCTTTAATAAAATGCAATAACAAGTATTCACAATTGTGTTTAAGATATTAAAAATACTTACCACATTTGCTGTCGTGCAAATATTCTTACCTCTATATAATATGAATAAGATCGGTCATCTAAATCCCATAGTAACATTTTTATGTGATTTATAATATATTCCTTTTTTAATTTGATTAAAATTCCAGTGTCGTTTTTGTCGCTTATAGTATGTCTTGTATAGCCACGTTCCAAGTCATAATTCTTAACGTCCCCATTAAGTAAAAAATTGCGCATTTCTCCCTGCAATACTTGCGCTCCAAGCTTTAGACAAGCAACGTTTTCATCAACAAGTAAACAGCCACGATGAGGAAGTTCGTGATTTTTTTTTAGCTTTTGTTCATATAATACATCCAAAAGAACACTATCTAACAATAATCCACTGTCTCGAACATCCTTTAGAATTTGCATATCCGGAATAAGAACTAATCGAATCTGTGCTGTAAAATTAAAAAATAAATTTATGTATGCAATTTTTTCAAATTATTTTCAAAAATTGATCATTGATTCAATAAATTTAAACAATATATCTTATTTGTATTTCTTGTTCAAATTACATGCGACGAATTCGATTGAATGTACTAGTGCGCACTGAGTGCGTCTTTCAATGTGTAGTAGAATATTTCAGTGTTAGTATTTTACTACACACTGAAAGAGGATGCACTCAGTGCGCACTAGTGCATCCAATCGAATTCGTTGATAGAAAATTCATTGGTCACTGTTTAGAAGTGCGCTTAATCACCTAAAACTTCTTTTGGATTGACCCTAGAGTTAGCTGTGACCCATGACCATACAGCTAAAAAGATCTCGAATTCTGGTGCATAGAAAGAATCTCTAGATAGCAATTGAATTAAAGCTTCAGGACTCATTTGCTTGAAAGTTTTACTTTGGATGACTTCAGGTGCATGCTTGTCCATATATTCAAGACAAACCTAATCATAAATTGTACACTAAATACACAATAAATAATGGTACATAAATTATAATATAATTAAGAAAGTAAAGTCAGATGTTATGATGTACTAACCTTCTTCAAAACTTCCAAATTATATAACAATGCAATATCTAAAATTGAACATATATTCTCTGTACTTAATATTTCTCTCAAATAACCTGATATAGCAGCCTCAAGGTCAACAAATCCATACAAATGTGCCAATGCCAGTATTTGTATTATTGTCTGTAAATAAATTTAGATATAAATTAGAACAATCATATATAATTTATATGTACATCTCTTAATGTTAAAAACAATACCCCTTCATTTTCCTGAGCAAGAGACATGCGACCTTTATATATATATTCAAGCAAGTTGCTGAATGCCTTTATTGAAGTAGTTTCCAATTCTATAGTATTTTCTATAGATTCTTTCATACCTCCATATAAAAGAGCGTGGAAATACTGGCTACGTGAGGCAAGAATAATTCTATGACATGGAAATTTTACACCTCGTACTATTAATGTTAAATCCGAATATTTTTCTGAAAGATATAGAGCTCCAAAATCTGCAGCAGCCTTGTGAATGTGATCTATTTCGCCAGATGACGAATTCAACAGACTGTTTGAGCTCATCTTTTATTAATCTTGTTTGTCGCACTTGTAATAAAATATACTTGCACCGAACGTCTTGATTACAGTCGCAAGTCTTAGCTATCAAGATAAATGTCACTTATGAAAGCAATTCGTCATTGTAGCCTTTTTCTACAAACATAAAAGCTTCAGAAATATAACTTTATCAATTGTTTTTTGTTAGTATAAATACACATGCACACATCGAGTACTCTTATATATTTGTTATCTTAAGAGTAATAAAATATTATTTGTTACGCGATGTTGTAATGATTTAATGGATGTAGAAAGTACACAATACAGACATCAAGCACAAAATATATTTACAATAATCTTGATTGCGTAGAAATGACAAGCATGACGAGAAACTAGAGTATGCTAAAATACTGCACGAACACGATATATCGATTCTCCAACTTAATAAAAAAAACGTAAACTTTTATATTTTCCTATTTATTTTACAAAACTTGAAAGTGAGAACTTCCGACAATTTTTCACAATCATTTGTGTCACCAGCTGTCTATTTTATCAAATTTTTTTCCAAAAGCCGAGTTACAAACTACATTCGATATGCAACAACTGACAACAACCAGCGTCATTAGGGCGGCGTCCCACTCATGGCATGGTGCAGCGTGCAGCGTTGCCACTGAACTATAATATGGAACGCGCCTTTCATTGTTCGAGCTGTCCGCGATAGAGGGCATTATAACTAGAATCTCTGTCTTTGTCTCGTCGTCGCTGATTGGTTGAATTTATACGAGTACAGTCTAAGACAAAAGAACAATGAAAAGTAAAGAATGACTGCGTTCAGCAGAAATCACATATATGTAATACCAGAGAGAAACCTGAGAGCGGCCATCCTATTGTAATTTTTTACGACGGTTTCAGCCGCTGGTTTTAGCCGTATTTTCACAAAAGTGGAACTCAAAGGCCGTTCTCTATAAAACTCAAGTCGCAGGTCTC